AATATGTTGATTTTGGATTTGTTCTTGTCATATTTTTCTTGCCACTTGTTCACCCCGCCCACCCACCATTCGCTCACCCTGCCCCACCCACCCGCTGGCTGCCCAATCAATGCTTGTTTCCCCTTCCCACTCACCCAACTCTCGCCCCACCATCCCAGTCCTATATATGTTGCCTTTGCTTTACCACATGGTCCATCTACGCACATCTCCAGTTACCTCTGCACTTTGCGCATTCTCCTCATCTCACCAAAAGTAAGTAAGCATGTTGTCCTCTCACCCTTCACCTTAGGTCAGGGGCTGGGGCCCCAGGGATGCACCACCCACTTCAGCCAGGTTGTGGTTCCATTCCACAGCTCCGACCTTTGCCCGAATCCACTGCCCGATCTCTGCCCCCCTCAGCAGGATGGGGAATGAGACATTCCCCAGCTCCGGCCTTGCCCCAGAGCCACTACCCACTCTCTGACCACTTGCCCGCTGCCTCGCTCATCTACCTTCTATTCTGGTCATCTTGGGGGAGGGCATGGTGAGGCTTGGCCACCTTTCACAGGAAGCCTACAGCTGCCAGTCATTTTTGGTTGAATTCCGAGCAGCTCTGCTACAACGTCATCCCTCCAGCGCAGCAGGCTGTTCCCCTGGCCAGGTCTGGTGGCCGGGTGCGAGCGGCACCGACATGCAATGTGTTGCCTGTTAACAGGATGGAGGCAATGGTCACAGGACAAGTTCTATGACCATCACCACCATCGCTGCCTTGTTCGAGCTGCCCATGCACCCTACTCATGGCTGGTCACTGGACCCAGCCAGGAGAACAGCCTGTTGTGCCAGAGAAATGGTGCCCATGGGAGCTACAGCCCCAGTCTTAAAGGTACTTCGGTGCAGGATGGAGGGGGAAAAAGGGACAGGAAGCCACAGGAGCTGCCTTCCAAGCAGTTCCGCTGCAAAAACTTTGGCTTTGGCATTCAATGTGGCTGCTTTTCTCCTTCTCAGGCTAATGCACACAGAGCAAACATGAGAAGGAGGCAAGAAGCAGCCAGGTTGAACACTAGAAGACTTGGCCAAACTTTTCTGTGGGTTCTGTGGGTTTTATGGGTGTGATTTGAGTGGGTATGGCTGGTGGAAAGGTGTTGCCCCACCTTGCCGTCAGAGACGTTGAGTGTGCCATGCCCACTCAGTCACATGAACCCCCTCACCAAGCCACGACACCGAACTGGGAGAGAAAAAAGTTTGAAACCACCACTTGTCAGGTAGCTATGGAAATCTAAATCAATGAACAAATGCTGTACAATTTTTAAAAATAACGAAGAATTTAATGTTGGTCTGTCCTATAGTCCCTGCAGAGTTGAGAATTAAAAATTATAAGATTACATAAAGACCATTCTTGAAAGGTCATCTCTGATTCACGCCATTTGAAGGTATGTATTTTACAGGAGGAAATTATTTTCATCCACGGAGCTGGAATCAGGCTCTGGATCCTCCCGAATCCCAGCAGAACCTAAAGGGCAGTTTTTCCATCCTCTCCTTAAAGACATGGTCAAACCTTTCACTCTGGACAACAGTCATGTAGTTCTTCCAATCCCCAATAGTGCCTGGGAAGCAGTGGTTAAAAAAATGTCAACAGTTTTTTTTTTAATTCAATTAAATTACTGTAATGCGCTTTATATGGGGCTGCTTTTGAAAAGTGTTCGAAGACTTCAGCTAGTCCAGAATGCAGCCGCGCGAGCGATTGTGGGTGCACCTAGGTACACCCACGTTACACCTATCCTC